CCTTGACTTTGAAAAGGCAATTAAGTTATTAACCTGACGACACCTATAAATGACTGACGACGATTGCGTACAATTTTAATGTTGTTCTTCCTCATATAAACACGCTGCCGTTTGCATACCAAGTAGTTTCGAGCGATTATGCCCTTCAACAATTCTGGTTATCATTGTTGATACAGACGTCGCGAGCGAAGGTATATAACGAATCGTTCTTTCAATTTACACAATCACATTGTGTCATGATTCTGTCATGGTAACTTCTTTAAGTGTTGTTTATAATCGGTGTTGACAGAGTGCGTTGTGTAAAGTAGTTAATATTGATAAATTAAGGGTAAGTCTCATGAGACTTTTTGAACATTAGGAAAATTATGGAAATTTTTTTTTTTTGTTTTCATTATCAAAATAATCTTACCATTATTACTACATATTTCTTACGAATATTTTTTTCCCTCTTTTGAAACTGCATTTGTTATAATCACATTTTATATAAAGAATATTTATAATACATATTTTGGTATTTTTGAAATAAAAATTATAAGTTGATTGATTTTATTAAAATATTGATAAAACAATAATTGCTTAGCTCAACGAATAGATACCAATTTTTTTTTTGAAATTTCAATTACCTTATCGATTTTTCCACACTTATATAATCAATAAAAACAAATAATCCCCTTCATTATCAAGTAATTCATTAATACCCTGATATAGTTCGATAATAATTAAATCGATACGCTTTTATATGATATAAATATCCTCCTACCTAATAATGGATTAATTTTAAGTTGGTCAGTTGTTTATACGCTGTTTTTACATAGTCGATGGAATTATTATTAATTAAGTATACTAAAATAGTGACAATATAAATTCCGTAAGTATCTAATACCTACCCCTTTCAAAATAATACCTATTGTCATATAACAGATACCTATTGCTTCTTGTCACAAAGTTTGTTGTTAAATTTTAACTGAATTTCTGTAAATATCGCACTTTAAACATGAAAATATTTGGTTTTTATTTTTTTTTATATAAGAAT